AAAGCTGGTTGAGGCAGGAGCGAAGCCGCAACACTGTTGTGAAAGACTGCTGATCCATGATCAACACACACACAGACACACACACACACATGTGCATCTGCGTCAACAAATTAAAATTGCTCAATTATGGGAATTCTCGTTACTGACTGTTGCTTGTGCAAAACAGACGTTTGTGCTTTTAATCAAAAGCTTACACACAAACCTACAAACATAATCATGCTAAGGCGCTAATCCAACATGTGTCAGGGGTAATTACTAACATCTGCATAAGTTTGCTAAGATTAAAAAATATTTCACGAGTTAAAGCAATGGTTTGTGTAAAAATCAAATTTACACAATCACCCTCTTACTTCAAATATAGTCAAATAGCCATGTTTGGTGTCTGAAGTTACTTTAGTTTTGCACTGGAGCTACAAGGCTAATGTAGCTGACAAGTAATGGACATTAATAATAGACACCAATTAGCCTCATGAAAACTGCATGCCTAAATCATCATGTACTTGCCTTAAACTGTGTTGTGTTTTTATAGAATCTCAAATAAATACAGTGTCTGACACTGTATGGACATTATCTATGCTTTTGTCTGTACTTGTCTTTTTTTGTTTTTTACCTTTCTGAGAATTCTGAGTATCCATCTCCCTTAGTTACAGCCGCTACATCCATCAAACTTTAAGCTCAGGCTACCTGCTGGAATCCATAGCGCTTGTACAGAGGTTCAGTAGCACAAGGTAAAATGGCAAACTTTGCATGTAGGCCAAGGTAAAGTGAAATTTAAAGCTTTGGGTTCCGGAAATCATATGTCTAATGTCCTTCAGAAGAGCTAAAGCTAAAACTACAGCTAGTCAGAGAAATATCAGATGCTGAGAAAGACCTGTTGTCTTGTACACAAGATCTTTTAGCAAAAATTAATAAAACAATACAAAGTATGGCACGTGTATAAGGGCATTAATATTTATCTTTACACACAGTGAGCTGGATTTCAACTCTATCTGATTATTCAAGTAGTCACATAAACAGGATAGTCAGATTTCTTAGATCGGATCAAGGCCTCGAGAGCTGGATTTTAACTCAGTATTTGGCTCTAACGGAAACAACGCAAGCAGCGTTTAACACAGCACCCGCAAGACGGCAACAAGACTCTTTGGAGTGATGCTGGAACTAACTACATGCTTGACAAAATGAAGAATCTTCATCTTCTAGATAGTGAATTTTAGATGATATGAGTTTTACGTTCCCCACCCAACAGATAATCAGGATAGCGTGTGAAGGCATTGAAAGACTCTACGCTGCAAAGTGTATGAAATAATTCATCTGCTGCATTGTGAGCAGTGTGTGGTGTGTGTATGTCAGGTAGATTGATGGAAGGCTGAAGGAATGTGGGCCCAGTTTAACCTGTCAGCACGTTTGTTACAGATTCATGAAGGGTCACAAATCAAAACAAAGAGGCAGCCACACACTGAGAGTCACACACACATACAGTGGGACAGCAAGCAGGTGACTTCAGAGCATGCCTTGCCAAGCACCGCTCAGCATGAAGCCACCCCCCAACCCACACACATACATAAACACAGGTCACATTGGGGTGTTTGCTTTGTAGATTTAATGGGACTAATGGCTGGAACGCGCCAGTCAAAGCCACTCTCTTCAAGATACAACAACAAAAAGGCAACTGCAACATCTCCTAATCAGGGAACAACTCCAGCTAAGTTTCATGTATTTATCTGTTCCATCACAACTGAGTCAGTTTAATCAGTTGAATCAAGTGTGCTCGAGCAGGAAAAACACTAAACTATGTGAAGAAGTCAGCTGCTAGGCTTGTAATATCATGTGCAATGTACTATCATCTGATTGTGCACCGCAGTCATTAAGGATGTTTTGGGGAGAAAAAAGATTTTAAAAAGACAGCAGCTCTGCTAGGCTGCACACAACGTGCACGCTTTTTCAGAAAAAAGAGCCAGGAACACTGAAAGGCCTGTTTGAGCACAGCAAGTCATATCGTAAGACCACACAGAAGCCTGCTTAAACCAGCAAAAGATAAACCAGCTTCAGGTTCTGCTCAGAAACCTGTAGGCTAAACTTATCCTTACTTGTGGTATACATTCCATATGTTCATACATACTGGTATGGTATGTTTCGGTAGTTTTAAATCTGATAAAAATTCAATAATTTGTATGTTTGCAGCCTATAAATCACTTCTTGTTAAAATAATGAAACAGCAACTGTACTGTAGCCAATTACTATTATGTTTCATGTTTTACGAGGGAAGGCGTTCTGTGCATGGAAGCCTGCAGTCAGTTATCAAATCAAATCACATTTTTTTGGGCTTAGGTCACGTTCAGTTTTTTCACATTCAGGTTTCTCATAGCCCTTAACAAAACATTTACCCTGCTTTAGTTTTCTCTCTTTTTATTCCTTTTTACTTTTATTACCTTTGAGAATTTCTATTCTTGCACACTGGAGTCACTCATGTTGGCACAACGTCAACTGAAGCCCATGAGTCCAAAAGAGAATCACATATTCAAAATTCACCATATATTAAAAAAATTGCGATGTTGTTTGAAATCACTGATTGATGAATGAATTTGTAAAAGTGGAATTAAAACTTTTGGATAGCTGAGAATGAGTCTGCTTTTGTTTAGCGATGATCTGATGATCTGATGTCTGAGGCTCCAACAGAGCAGGCGCTATCGTTAGAAGTGCTGTGTTTTTTGGTCTCCAGCTGTTGGTGCTTGGATCCAGATAGAGTTTTGCTGAGCTACAGTTGGTTTCAGGCAGTGTGTTTCAACAGAATTGTACTGGGCTACGTTCAGGTTCAGACAGACTTTTTTGGAAGCTACTGTCGACTGGGACAGAATTTTTTTTTGGGTGTGGTCATAAGAAGGTGAAGAACGTGGGAGAATGTGAAGAAGGTGAAAATTGTATGCAAAGAACTGGGATACGAAACTGCAAGATCTGATCCTGAGTCAGTACTATTATGCACAGTCTGTGACTCTGACCCACCACAGCGTTGTGCTTACCTTCCCCCAGATAGTAGCGAAGCCGCAGGTCCCAGGCCAGCAAGGCTTCCTTACTGTCAAAGCCAAGCTGGACAGTCTGATTTAAACACAGGATGGTCAGCGTGAAGGCCACTCCTTCTCCACTCAGTCCAGCCTCCAGGCCGCAAATGTGCTCCAAAACCACGCTGCTTCTCTCCTTCACTCCTCGCTCTTTGGACACCAACAACACTAGGCAGTCTAAGAGAGAGAGAGAGAGAGGGAGAGAGAGAGAGAGAGAGAGAGGGAGGGAGAGAGGGAGAGAGGGAGAGAGGGAGGGAGAGCGGGAGGAGAGACGGGACGGAAAGGGGGATGTCAAGGTTTGTGTTCCAGGACAAACTGAGACAGGCGTCAAGTATCCCTATTGTTCACACTCCCAGGAAATGCAACTGACAAAACATCAGTACCCTTTAATTCTCTCACCCACCACATCACATGTATGACCACGGACAGCTGGCACAACAGTTGCATCAACAGCATGACCTGTGTGCTCTCTAGCCATTATACACCTACTGGAGGCCACACTCACAAAGCCACAAGCTTTTTCTGTGCAGCAACTGCCTAACACAGTGACAGGCCTGCCAAACCTCATGCTCCGCAAGTCCACTAGCTTCCAGGGAAGGCCTGCGCTAGATGCAGAATGTATGGAAAAATACCACAAAAAAATACCAAAAACACATTTTTGTTGGCATTCACACCTACTTTCACTGGGTTTTATATTAAATTATGGTTCAAACTGTCTCTTTAAATGTAATCTAACACATGATCTAAACTGGGACAGCCCAAGTTCTGAATGGGGAACCTGATAGTACCAAATAACAAACTCAAATATAAAACTCATTGAGACAAACTCCCACCAACACAACATGCTAACTAAGCTTAACTTTAAAACGTTACCAGGCTAACAACAACTGTGACCTAGATGTTATGCATATGTAAGGAAACAGAACAGCATATAAGCCTTTATATTTATGTTTAGAAAGACTCTGGTGAACTTTCTTGCGAGACCTCTGAGGGACATATCAAATTCAACTTTGTCAGTTGGGCCGAATCTCAGTTTCCTCACTTATGCCTACATTAGCGCACTACATAGGGTACGATATAAAGACTTCTACACACCAAGAATGCTTCATATGTCATTAAATAAGCAGTTTCACAAATACTGCACCACACAAGTCATAAAACACAGGCTTTCTCCACTCAAGTCACTTATGCACAGCATAAGTCATGAAACAAACGCTTCTACGCCCAAACAGTGCACTACGGAGCCGTTTGGGATCTGGTTACATAACGTGACCGTTAGCTACCGTTAACTCACCTGCCACAGGCGAGGGCTTGCGGAGAACGACCCACCGGCTTTTCCACTGCAGCGAGAAAGGCGACAGTTAGGTCAACAAGTCTCGGGACAAAAAGGTGAGAAAACAAATCGAATAAAAACGTTCAGAAGGGGTTTTTAAGCCAGGCAGCTTGGTCGCGTTACCTTTTTGCCGTCTCTCAGTTTAACGTGTCCCTCTGCAACCACCGAATCCGTCATCTTCACTTCATCGTTCCAGAACAGCTGCGCGCGGGTCACTTTTCAAAAATAAACCGTCAGCGATGTTCTTTTCCCACCCGTATCCTGGCAAGCCCCGCCCCCGCTGCGCTAGGATTGGCTAGAAGTTTGCGTACACAAGTCGTGCTCTTACTTCTAGCCAATCCTAGCGCCGGTGGCGGGAGCCTTCTAGCAAATCCCAGCACAGGAGGGCGGGTACTGTATGAATACGGGTGGGAAAACACTAACACCAAGATGCCAAAGCTGGGATTAAACCGCTTAACCGTCACATATTTTATCAAATACATATATTAAAGAATAAATTAAGCTCAGGCTTAGCTGGAGCTGACACAAACGTACATAAATAAATACATAAGTAACTTTATTAAAATATTATATTGTGGAGGTCGTCTGTGTGTAAAATAAAAACATTCATCTTGAAGTTTTATTCCAAATGTGGTGGCTTTAATATAATTTATTTGATCATAAAGTATATACTTTATTCACAGTTCTTAAAAATAAAATAAAATAAAATAAAAATTCACAGACAAGGTCCGACAGCACAGTTCACATGGCAGTACTATGAAAGTATGAGAGTCTGTCTTTTGGGTCGTATGGTGTGGTTGACCCAGCTGACATATTTAGGTACTTTGGTGTAGACGCCTGGTTTCCCAGTTCTTCCACATCCATCACCCCAGCTGATGATTCCATATAGGAAACTAACACCGTCACGCACACACTCCAGCGGGCCCCCAGAGTCCCCCTGCGTGCACACACACACACACACACGTACACACACACACACGTCTAATTTAGAATGGCAGCCCTGTAGTCACAGTTCAAAGGAACAGTCTACAGCCTAACCTCCGTCACACATACGTTACATATGTATTTTACTCTTAAAAAAGAGGGTTCTTTAGTAAAGACAGTAGTTCTATATAGAACCATGAACACTCTAAGAACCATTTGCATGCTTAAATGGATCTTTGCATGGTAAAATCGTTCTTCAGATTGATGGAGAATGTGTTGTATGTGGTTCTGTATAGAACATTTTTGAAAATGGTTCTATACAATACCAAAAAGGGTTCTTCTATCGGTACAAGCCTGACATCATAGTGCTGACGTCACACAATCGCACTAATTAGAAGGCATTGAATTGCTGAACTCTGTCGGTTGGTGAAGCAGGTATTTTTACCCAATTTTCATAAATTCTTCAGACTGCACAAGTAGTTCTTTCCATTATAGGACTTCCAGAAGGAAGAATTTGTGGGAATATGTTACCAGTGTACTGGTGTGGGTGGACTTCTCACAAGATTTTTTTCTTGCCCAGAAAACTTTAGGGACAGTGAAAGTAACTGAAGCTGCTTTTTCTTTTACTCTTTTACTCCAGTGATCAAAAGGTGGACAAAACCTCAGAAGAAAAGCTTTGGTAAGACATACTTTCATGTCTGACTCAACTGCCTAAAACACACTTTCAAGGGTAAACTCTATTCAGGGAATTCAGAAAACTTCTATCATAAGTGAGTTTCAAGGCAGGAGGTCTGCTGCTATTTTTTAAGAAGAGGTCCATGGTCACCAACACACTACAGATGCAGCAAAAATTAAGCTTAAAAATTATGGGCTGGATTTACCTGGCAGGCATCCACACAGGTGTCACTACCTGCACACAGCATCCCCGGCCTCACCTCCAAACCGTACACATCTGGAGCAGAACACTTCTCATATGGGATGATCTTCACCATTCCCTCTCTCAGGTGAGAATACGAGTTCCCCTCTAACACACAAACACACATACATGTATTACTGTTTTTGTGGGGTACTTCCATTGTCTTTTATATGAGTACAGCCAATGCTTCTGTACTCCACTTAACCCAACACCTCCACACAGCCTGCAGCTTCTTTATTTGATTTTACTTAACTTTTAAAATGATTTTTGGTATGTTTTAGCTATGCCTTAGCTATTGTTTTACTTTTTACTTTTGTACTTTTTATTTCTTTATTTTGTTATCACTTTTTATTTCTTTTATTAGTATTCTTTTTATTTATTTTATTATTGTCAATTTATCGTCTTACATCTTCTATTTGTTTTATTTCATTAATTTATGTCTTTATTTATTTTATCCTTATTTGATCCGTTACTTGATAAGTTACCATATTGTAATTTTAATCGTTTATTCCTTTAACGGTTTACCTTCTTATTAAATTTTACTATTATGATTTTTATTATTTCATTATAACATTTGATTTATTTTTTACTGTACAACTTCTCAATCCCTGATTCCTGTATTACTCTGCTACATTGTAAATGAGGGTCTCCCTCTAAGTATTCCGAGTTTAAATAAAGGTTGATTGATTGAATTACCAAAAGATCAGCTTTGGTCTCTTTCACTTTTCTAATAAAATCTGCTTTTTTGTTAAAAGACAGTAAAAAAAATGATGTCCCCACAATGTCAAAATGTTTTCCAGCATTATGGGGATATACCAAAGAGCTAAAAATACGGCTACAAAAGACACGTACCTAAGCTTTAAATATCTGTCAGAAACCTGACGAACTTGCCTGCTTACGTCAGGTTTGTTCGTGTTCGAATGTCATTTCCCAGATATGCGTCAGCTTCCTACTTTTAACAGATTTTACAGTGCATTTCTAACTGCTTTTGTTTTTCTCCTTACTTTACTGTTACTTTCAAGACTTAGGACGTTTGGGACGATGTTCGAAACATTGATAAATACGTTTGTTAAAGTAGAATTTAAAATGAATTTTGAACAGCTGATCATTTTATGGAATTGTTTTAGCATATCTATGATCTAATGATGGCTGTCGTTGTCACTACATGGTAATTTTACCTGTGCCATTCTTTCCTATTTGATGTTGAGCTGGTCTGGGCCAGTTTCGTATAGGTATCAGCCTCTAGAGACAGTAACGCTCATAATCACAGCTCCCAAGCTCTTCACTATAGAACATTTTTACTCTTAAGAACATTTTTAGTCAGGTTGTGTTCTGCGTTGAACTGACAGAACAAAAAGTCTCTGACAATGTAGCGTCATCTGCAAAGTGAGATCAAGGGCAAATGTATCTTTGCTAATACTTAAAACACTTTTAAGTAACTTATACTGACTATATAGACATTTTCAAAATCCTGATTACTTTTTATACTGGTAGGTCTAAAAAAGCAGAAAGTGAAAAACCAATCTAAATCTGACAAAATTTTGTCCAAATTTTATCGTGAAACTGTATTAGAGTAGATTTCTCTTATCCCAGCCTTGTACAGCTGTATACCTCAACAATGACAAAACCGTATTTTATGTGAGTAACCCTTCTGGGTTGATACCGATGGTTTCAGACAGAATTTTGCTGTACTCGGGTCAGTTTCAGTCTCAAAACTTCATGATTAGAACAAAATTTGTTGTGTTTAGGTTGGGTTCGGACTTGAAACATGATATTATGGGTTGGGTGTGGCTCAGACAGAAAGTTCTCAAGCTTTTTTTAGGTTCAGACTACAATTTTGGACCTGATTTAAGCTCTAATACATGTACATACAGACAGACACAGGCCCACATTTGTACATGGACGTTAACACCTGACCACCTAATGAAGGCTTTCAGGAGCATCTAAATAATACAGCCAGGTGTGTTGGATCTGAACTCTCCAGATAGTAGATCTCCAAGACCAGGACTGGGCACCTCTGATATACGTATATGTTAACACCTGCCCTAACACAGATCCAGCACTGTAGACAGATTCATGTGTGCCACAAAAGATTATCAAGCAATGAGATTAAAAAAAGTGTTTAAACAAGAAAAACATGAGACTTTGGGGCCTCTGAAGCATGTGTGTATGTGCTTGTATGTGTGAGATGTTTTGAGTTGACTCACTCTCCTGCATGTGTCCCCAGCCCGTTATGGTGCAACACGTATAGTCAGGAAACGTCATGAACCTGTCTGGCAGACAGATGGGCCGAATGAACTGAGTCTTAGGAGCACACCGGCCATTCACCTTCTTCAGCTTCACCAGCACTGTTAAACCAGAAAGACACAGGTCACAAACCTACATATGCAAACATGAACATTTTCAATTGAATTGCATAAATCCATTAACAGCCACTGCATACACCCTCCAGGGTCTCCTGGCATTTACACCATTAAACACGTTGTCTTTACATGTTTTCCATGCTGGAATAATCCAGTATTTTTGTCCTAGATAAGATCCAATACTGGTATTTTCATAGATTAAACAGCCACATCATTTGGGTAAGATATTCTAGGCTTACAATAAATGCTACAGTAAATTTACTTTCTTTTTAATATGTGCATTGTGTGACATTGTGTTTTTTATGATCATTTGATAGTGCGTTCGATTTTCACTTCATATTCCGCTACAAAATAGTTCCACACTGTAGACATTAAACTGCTTTCTTAACGTCTGAAAATGTGTCGCAGACTGAGGTTAATCTCAGTTTAAAGCACCTCTACGACAGTGAGCGCAAAAAAGAAAAGGACTGGAAAGGAATCAGTTTTAATGTACCTGATCCGTTAAAATGTGCCTGGATCGGCTCCGACATCTCTACCACATAAGCAAGTTTATTTGAGACTATGTAACAACTCCACACAGTTTAAGGCAAGTGTGCAAAGATTTAGGCAAGCAGTTTGCTGACCTGGTGTCTAAAAGCTTTAATTACCTGAAGCTTGAACTTTAGACATCCAACACGTCTTAGCTCTAGGGATGTCCCAATCCAGTCCAATGGATCAGGATCTGAGGCAATCCAGGCATATTTTAATAGATCCAGTTTTAGTTCTTTGTTTTTTTTTGTTTATGCACTCTACTTATTATAACTACTGTTGCTACGGTGTCGTAAACAGGCATCATCCACGAAAAAAAGAGAGATTTTCAAAGAGATCTAAATGTGTGCAGTGTGGTGTTATTTTACAGTGAAACAGGAAAACGTCCAATAGCTGGTGCTGCAGGTACTATTAGCCACGTTTTGTCTAAACAATGGGATGTAAAATGTGAGACAGTAGCTTTCCACTTTAAGTGTACTTTCTGGTATTTACAGCAAACAGCATGGCTCCAGAAGCCCTTAAAATTGGGGGTTTTAAGGGCTTGTAGTAAAGGCAAATATTATACATAATCAAGACAACTCAAGAAACCATTTGCTTAAATGTTAAAGTGCGTCTTCATGATGGAGAACCTGTTGTGTATGGTTCTATAAACAACCTTTCAAAAGCAAGGTCCTATATAGCACCAAAAAAAGGTTATAGGTCAAAGAACACTTTCACTAAGAGTGTGCAAAATAAACTGCCACCATGATATATATAACCACAGTGAATTCCACTGTATACAGCCAATTCCACTATATATAACCACAGAGAATTTCCACTGTAAAACAATTATATTCATATAAATGTTCAAAAAAACACAAAAGACATCAGTTCAGACTGTGTACTGTTACATATGTCAAAAACAAAGTGATTTTACTGCAGAATATTAAAGTCACCGATGGTCAAATCATCAAACAGGTCAATCAAATTGAATCATAAGCCAGCATTAAACATACTATAAATGATCATTTAAAAAAAATTCACATTATGCAAATTACAAAGTGATCTTACTGTAATATTAAGTAGTAAACTAACATGCCTTACCTAAATTATATAACCAATATTACCAATGAAAACACAAATATTGTCTGTGTACCAGCCCACACTCAACATCAAGCTGGACAAAGGGGGGCCAAAAACTGGATTGGGACTACTAGGAAAGATTTGTGTAAATTTGGTTTTGGCCAAACCTTCACTTTAAAGAAACACTTCTCTGATGATTATACAGTTATAAAACATGAACAAATGTAAAATGACTGCGGAATAACATTAGTCAGAGAGAAGGAATGTGTGAGAATCGGAAAAGTGATAAAGGTTCAGGAATGTGAACACACATACGCACACACAAAACCTTGGACAGGCACTCACAGGTTTAACTTACACGTATCTATGTGTATGCATGGATGATGGACATTTAAAACTGTACCTACCAATATCATGCACAGTTGGGTTGAACTGAACGTAGTTGTGGTAGTGCACATACTTCTCTATGCCAAACGTTCGAGTGTTAGAACCCGTATCATTGAAAAAATGCTGGCCAAGGACCACACGCACTGTTGACTTCAACGGACTGAGAGAGAGATAAGAGAGGAGAAGAGAAGAGGAGAATTAAAGAAAGACAATCACTAATAATGTACAGTTCTGTGCAAAAGTCAGAGACCACTCTTCATTTACTAAATTTCCATTAAGTACAAGTTATTCACTTTTAAAGAGATATTTCTGAGCAGATTAGATTTAAGATAATCTAACTGCATAAGGCAAAAAGAAAGTCCAAGTAAATTTGGCACTCCTAACAATCATGCAAGACCCTGTAGACCACCAAAATAACAGACCTCAACATCACTGAATGTGTTTGGGATTATCTGAATTGTGAGGAGCAGAAAATGTAGCCAACTTGTAAGACTGAACTTTGGAGGTGAAAAATTCAAATTTTCAAGTTTTCTGAAAAGAACAGAAGCTGTAATAAAGGCAAAGAGTGAATACACTAAATACTGAACAATTTATATTTAATTGTTGACACTTCTGTGTAATTTTTTAAATTAGACATATTTGTTTTGCTGTTTTCCTGATACTGAAAAATGATAATTTGTAAACTGCTATTTTGGCTGGAATAAAATGAAAGGGTGGTCTCTGTCAATTGTCTTTTGTCAGCGTTTATTAAAATGATGTGGAATCATTAATTATCAAAGTTCTTGAGATGACAAATTGATGCAAGATTCACCAGGGGGGCTTCTTACCCTGGGTAGGGAGACTGCTTGCCCTGACAATGGGGAATTTTCTTTTTTTGTGCTATAAAAACAAAACTGTCTACTGTTCCAGTTTATTTCTACAGATACAATTTTGCATTACTGTAAGTAGCTGTTGTTCTTAAGGGGGGGGGGTCTCCCTTTCCTCCTACATTTTTAAACTTTAGCAATGTTTATATATTACATCTAACAGTTATTTCAAATTTAAAAAGGGAAAATCCAGTTTCCCATTATATAGATCTATTAAATAAAAAATTTGGTGATTAGAGTATTACACTGTGTGCAATGATGCTGTATTGAAGAACTATTTAAAGAGAAATTCCACCAATTTTCCAAATTTCTGCATAATTTAAAAATTTACAAATTTTTAAATTATGAAAAAACAAAAAGGCTACTGCTGAAATGACAGTCATGCTGAAGACGAGTAGAACCAGTTATCAAAAACTGATTGAATTAAGTGATTAAAATAGGACTTATTAGGGATTCTAGGAGGATGTGACAACATACAGTCAACGTAGTACTGATTATTTTTGCTGTCTCCTCAACGTTGCCACAACTTCCTAGAAAGTTGTCAAACAACGTTGTCATAATTTTCCAAAGAATTACATTTATTTCAACGTTGTGACAATGTAGAGAGCACCAAGCAGATAACGTTGTGGGCACCAAAGGAATAATAAGGAAATAATCAAATGTATGTGGAATTGGTCCCAAAACACCTGATTAAACGATTAGAATCCTTTGCACTGTCATATCTACCCATCAGGAAAACACAGAATACCATTAGCAACTACTGAAAACCACCAGGAACCTACGGACACTTTTAATGGGTTCTATGATTTTTTTCAACAGGGAGATACATTAAATGTAACTCTCTAGCTGTGTTATGGACAAAAAATGGACTAAGTGATGATATCGCTAAGCAGCAGCAGCAGCCAAAACTTAATGTGCGGTTGGGCTTCTTCTGCCATTGTGGCAGAGAGCGCATGTGCACATGACGTCACTGGGGCTGAGAGTGCATCTGGATGAGAGTGCATGTCTGCAGCCAGACTCTATAGGTTTGATATAGAATTGTTCACTTGTACAGAAACGTACAGACTCATTTCTTTATAGTGGTGGAGATAGGAACCTGGGGTCCCCAGTGAACCTACATGTCTCTTCTGAGTTTTTATATGGGATGTTGATGATGGTAAAATAGTGGTCAATCTGAAAAAAAAAAAGAGTTTCCTTTGGGGACTATTTTCCTTTATAACACCCTTCAGGCACCCCTTCACCATGAATAGATTAGATAAATTGGTATAATAAAAAAATAAAAAAAACGTGACCACAAAACTACTGTAAAACAATGTGTCACACATCAGGCGGTGTATTTTTAACCATTTTTATGTAATAACGTTCTGTGAGGGAGCTTCTAGAGCCAAACTCTTCAGACGTCTGGTTCCTATCACCACCACTACGAACAATTCTGATTCAGTGAGCTTCCCTAGAACTAAGCATTTCACATCAGACCTCTCTAAATAATTTGGTCGACATGTTAATTATGCAGAAATTTTGAAAAATCAGTGTTCTCCTTTAACATCGATACTTCATACAACAGTAAAAGCCTTAATAGTAACAGTAAAAGTAAAAAAAAAATAAAAACAACTTTATTTCAGCCAACATTATTTATATTTACATAAGGCTGGATCACTAAAGCCTCCACTTATACACCCACAGAAACTCATCTGGAACAGCTGATGCCAGACTCCTCCGGCATAACAGTAAACAGTTCAGTGATTTGTTATAAATCCATTTGCATAATGTTCCCATTCAGCAATATCAGTACTGCAAAGGCCAATATTGTAATAGCAATTAACAAATGATATATCATGCAGTCCTAACACACACACTCAGAGGCATACTTGCGTAAGAAGCAGTGAGCGGCGGATATGACCCAGCAGGATGAGACCAGGCTGCCGGCACAGAACTCCTCGCCGATATACAGCGCTGCCATCCAGGGGTGATAGCCGGGCAGCGCAGATGACCCACCCAGAATCCGCCCACGAGGAATACGCTTTGCATGCCTCCGCCCACAGCCCGCAACGGGACCTGGCGCAGGAGTGGGCGAGGGACTCGGAGTTGGATGGACAGGAGGAACTTTACGACTCCCTACAAGGCAAAAAGAGAGGAATCACAATGCATCTCCATATCTCACCATCATTTTAATGCAGCATGAACATTCACCATGATTTGATTCAATCTGATTATTTTTTGTATAGACAAATGTGATTATAGCAACTATTTACTCTACAGAGTTACTCACAGAATTGTGACCCTTGAGAGTGCGACTGTAAGCCTCAATCCAAGATAATACGAGCTTGGATTGTATGGTATCCACTACTGAAGAGCTTGTATAGACCATTTTAATGTACCATTTTTTGACATTATCTTTTTTCTCTTGCTTTCTTTTTTGAGGCTTGTCTAGCGTCATCCTTACTCCACTTTTCAATATTGTCAGCTGTTACTGGTTAACTAACTACACATGTAAACACAATTTAATAAGTAATCAATCACAAAAGGTATTGTGCAAAAGGCTGAGACAGCCATGAAAATTGTTTAAATCGATTTATATGCGGTCACTTGCATAAGACATCTTTTGGCGGCCTCACTTTTTCCCTTTACCTCAAATGAGCTGCATAAAATGAGTGTTAGGGTGCCTACACACTAGACAACACAAAGACGGAGCGGTAGATGTATACACATGCAGATTTTGTCCATCTAGAAGGCGTGTACACAGCTGGAGCGTGGCGGAGTTTGTACAGCTAGAAATCCAGTGGTAAACAACACATCTGGATCAGAAATGAAGAAATATAGAAATTTTTGGGCAATGGCCATGTACAGAGCCAAGCAGACAACAGCCACGAAGGCAAAGAAGTCATATAGAACATGAAAAGACTACACAGCGTTGCTACTCTCCATGTTGGATTTTCATCCGCCTTCTGCCTGCACGTTGCTATTGGTTGACGTGCCTCCACGTCAGAATCCGTTGCAGTTGAACTTCTTCGACGCTCGATGACGCATCTTTTCTCTGCATACAGGCGCGTTTTTTGTCGAACAGAGCTAATGCAGCATCCTAACTGAAATACAATGGTGGGCTGCATTTCTGACGCTGCATCAGCTTCTAGTGTGTAGGCACCCTTAGACCTTGAGTTTAAGTTTGAGCACTTTAGTTTTTGACAGAAAAACCTTTCTAATTGAATTTACAGCTTTAAATTTATACCCACATTCTCATACTGACATACTAAACTGTCGCTAAGGTGGTACCCTCAAGGGTACGTCTTCAGTGCCCTTAGTGAGAGAACATAATCATACTAAAACCTATTGCAATCATATTTTTTTGACTCCATATTCCCTGTCTTGTCTCCAGGCTTTTTATTTCATTGTTCTGTTTTAAAACATTAGGTTATAAAAATGTACAAATACATACTTTTTTATCTGGGGACAACTTACACAGATGGACCATAAAACCATTGTTTTACATTGTTTGTACCTTGATGAATGAAAACGTTCCCATTTTTCTGAAAATGTAATGTGTTTTATGTAAGTGTCCACTGGGCAGAAAAGGTGTTTTTATCAGTAAAAGCTCTATAGCTCCCCTTATATATTTATAATGTTAAAAAATGCAAATAAACATAAACGCAGCCTTATTTATACCTTACTTATAAGAATAAAGTTGGAACACAGGTTTGGTTCCAGGTTTGGTTCCATCAGCAGCACACCTGATTATGTCATGTAATGAAGTATAGATTGAACTAGGTATTGGATGGTGACTGTAAATACCTCTTCCTGTTTAGGATTTTTCGTATTTAAGTGCTTTGTTTAACAAATAAATGCATACTGTACAGATAAATAGCACTTTTGCACAGTACTGTTAGATTTAATGTTTGAAAGTAGTCCAGAACTCATTTTTGAACAGTCAAATAATTATTTAGACAAAACCTGCTCATCATACTGAGAAAAACACTTGAACATGAATGAGTGTCAGTCAAAGCATGTAGCTCTTTTACGCCAACATTATTTCTCACTCCACTGAAAAGTAATACTGAAAATTTATCCTAATAGTCTCCAAACTTTTGACTGGCAGCACATATAAGTGTATTTTTAGTATAACAAAGGTATGAAACTGAGCAAAAACGTATGTCACCTTTCAACCATTTTCTTTTTGATTTATCACTCTGATATATGTTTGTTTTTATGAGCAGCGCACAGAGAGCTGAGACAGCACCCCAGGAGCCTAAAGCCACAGGCACTGACCAAAACGGCTCCACTTTAAATGTCACAAATTGTTATTCTGAAGACTTGCTAGAACACGTCTCTTTCCTGTAAGACTGATGAGGACGAATTCTGCAGAATTCTTCTTCTAATGTTTGTGCTCAGGGACAGAGAACAGTAGTCAACCGTTTCACAAACATATCACTTTTCATTCGTTTAGAGAAATCCCTCGGCGCTGATGTGCTGTGGCTCCTGGGTAAATACTGCAATGTTTATTCAGTGTCAGTTTGGGATTGTGTATGTGTGTGTCCAGATCGTTTTAAAATGATCTTACAATGACATGAATTAACATGTCATGTCATGTGGAATCAGTTGTGTGGAATGAATATTGAAAACTATATACTATAAAAAACTATAATTTTCAAGAGTATTTCTCTCTCTCTGTTTAGCGTTCCAGCATCTTGTAAACTGTGGCTAACAATGTATTATTCTTTGGCTATGTACTTTCCAGTCAAATTCGAAAGTTCATGAAGTTCAGACAAAGCAGACACTATGGAAAGCACTGAAAAACAGGCCAGGCCAGAGCAAGCACTACTGTGGTCCACTTTAAAACTTCTCCGTAGTGTTATATACAGTGCTGAACAGTAATCAGTCGAGCTAGGCCATCTATTCAGACCGCAAACATCAAAACTTGAAACAAGAAAAAATTCTCCTCTGCGATAATGCTAATTTCTGCCAGCGCCACTGTGAGAATTCTAATGGTGTGTTAGCACTAAGCTAACACTGGTGTGCATCAACTTTTATCTGTTCAAGATTTGAACACAGCTTGCAGACATTAACATATGGTCGCTGCCCAAAAAAAAAATGTATCTCATATCTTAAGAAGAAGCCAAAAATTTGTAACTTTAATGCAAGTTATTGTAAAGAGATTTAATTCCAAGTGATTTCTAAGCGTTTTTATTAGTCCATTCATTACGAAATGTTCCTGCAATGTAAAAGACAACTGCTGTGTTCAAATTATGTTGAAAAATAATGGAGATACATGTTTTTTAATGGCAACAATACATTTAATCTTGTAGCAACTGACTGAAACCTGGTTACACTACGGCTCGTGTTCACAGCCAGTGACTTCAGGAAAGCCTGTGCTTGTTGACTTCAGGAGTGCTGCTTGTTCTTATAAAATTGTCCAAACCTGGCAATCAAGTCAAAACTTGGTTGATCGGTTAATGCTCTGTCTCTTCCTGATAATATTAGTAGTTAATCTAACATGTTCCACCTTAGCCCTAGAAGGCCCTGAGGACCACCCTCTGCTAAAATATCTGACCCTGGGTCAATGGGTTTTGAGGTTTTACTCACATGGACCTCTGGGACAAGATGGCACATTACAGTATTCCCATGAAATGGCCCCATCACTCATCGTGTAGCACCACGGCAGCGCGTCCTCATCAGGGTTCCTGCATGTCAGCAACACAGCTAATCAGTATCAATTACAAGGTTACTATTACAGTTACAACAATTTAACCAATCAGCACTCACTAGCAATAATGCTAGCGTCTTGCTGCCCAAAACCCGTTTGCTGTAAAAAAAGGAAATATATTAGGGAAGTTTTCTTTGTTTTTTTAGTGAAATACATCCTTCTACTTTCTAAAATTGGAGGAAAGTTCTGGGCGAGTGATTGGAAACTATTTAGACTTTTCATTTTTAGCTGTTGAGCTCCATTTACTCCCATTCATTGAGTACTCGTTCGCGCAATATGTAGCATTAGCATGTGGTATTAGGGTAATGTACATGTTGAAATAACACAGTATGCAGCATTAGCATTACTGTAGATGTATTGGCACTGTATGTAGATGTTGCACTAGCACTGTATGTTGTATAAGCCATATGTAGATGTTGCATTAGCATATGGTATTAGCATAACGTAGATATCGCCTTAGCAATGAATGAACCTTAGTGTAGCGTAGTATTAAAAAGGTAGTAGGTTGCATCTGCACTAAAATGTGGCATTAGCATCGTGTGGACATTGCATTAGGATGCACATAGGGTGGATGTTAACCTGTATGTGGGATTAGTGTATAATGTGAATGGTATGCCAGACACATTATAAAGAAGGAGGAGACAGTTAACTGAAAAATTAATAGGACAGTTAATAATGTTCACATTGCCCTGTTTGACAGGAAAGCCCTTCCCTACAATATAAAGAACTGCCTTGCAGATAAAGTCACAAGTGGATCCTCCCTAATGGTAAAAAAGTAGCCAGAACAACCTACAAAAACACATTTGTTGCATGTTATTTACATCAAACTCTACAAACTATTTATGTGATTTTTGTCAGATTTTTTTTAAAACAGATGTTATCGAAACGTTAATTTGACATTCAATTTTGAGTTGATATAACTAGAAATAACTGCCCAGGGGTAGAGCTGGGCGATATGGCCAAAAACGTTATCACGACAAACAAAATTCATATCGTCCGATATCGATACATATCGCGATAAATGTCAAATCATGATTTCTTTCACGTTTGAAGGCTGATTTTGCTCCTGGGTGGTTAACTGTGGTTTTAAACTATCACTTATGGTCCGATCATGACAAACACTCGGCAAACAGTGGGACATTTCACTAATCTGTCTTGGGACAGTGGGAGAAAGTCTCTGAGCTGTTTTTATCAGATGGAAAAGCACAGCTGCAATTTTTGTAATAGTCATGATTTAAGAAAGAAAACAGGTTATTTTTAGCTGTCTGGAGACGAGCGCTCGGCTACCCCGTTACAAATGCTAATCAAGTGGCCAACAACAGTGCTAAACTCTTTAGTTTCTCAACAACGTCGACTCGGTTCGGTAGGTCACTGCTGTCACTCCTACCACATCCATGTCAGAGCAGATCACAGTATTCAGACACCAGCTAGCGACGACTGGGTTTCTCTATGCTATCGTAGTAGTTTAAGGGGTGAACCACAGTATATCTGACGTTCGCTGTGTAAAAGCATTATCTGCAGTGTGAATCTCTCACACCAGACAAACAGAGTCCTCCTTTTAGGTATGTTTAAACTGAAAGCGGTGATTTTGTGTCTTGTTTGATCTACCGTATCATCAATTCACCGTGTTTTGCCGAAGCGCTGCTTCAAGTTAGCCAGCAGTTAAAAACAGCTAGCCTGGAAAGACAGCGCTCTCCCGCTCTCCAATGCCTCACAGCTTCCTCAGTTTACTTTCGAACATTAACCTACTTCTTTCTTTCACTTTCGTTGCTCGAGAATGCACTAATACTAAAATATGACGGTTTGGCGCTGTATCGAGGAAAAGTTATATCGCGATACTTATCGTTTTATCGCCCAGCCCTACACCCAGGGGCATTGCCAAGATAGCCACCGAGTGGATGGACTTTCGTGTAAAGACTTTGGTTGCACTGTGCACTATGTAGCATTAGCAAGGATGAGATGAGGATGTGCATTAGAGAGAAAAAAAAAAGAAAAAACATCTCTACAGAATGATAATTTCTGCTAGTGCCTCTATGGGATTTCTAGTAGTATGCTACCGCTAAGCTAACACTGGTGCACATAAACATTTGCCAATTCTAGATTAAACCCAGACATTTGAAGGTTGTTAAAAATTTTACATATTTTTTCTTAAAACAGACATTAACATATTTTACTTTGTACTTTGACAGAAACCTGGCTGCATCTGAAAGAAACCTGGTCAGACTGGTACAGTCAGTGACGTATCTAAGACTTCCAGGAGGCCTAGACAGCCATTTGCTCTCACAAAACTGGTCCAACCAATTGTAAATCAAAACATGATTTGTTGATTCTGTTGTCCCTTCCTAATTACGTCAACAGTTGATCTAATGTGTCCAGTGTGGATGCAGGTTTTCATTCGAATTAAAGTAGAAGCACATATGATCAGTTGTCTGAAGAGAATAAACAAGTAGAATCAGGTGTGCTCCTGCTTGACAGAATATAGAAACCAACTATTAGCCTTTGAAGATGTGCATTAGCACTGTGTGTGGCATCTGCACAATGTAGATGTTGCATCAGCATTGTGTATGAGGTATTTCACAGGCAATGTGGCCTAACCTGCAGAAGGAATGATCACCCAGTCCTGTTAGAGAGGTGCTGTGGACTGTGTCCACAGTCAGCTCATCATACAGCAGGTCAGAGTTCCAGGGCAGACAGGAGGCACCAGATACTGTAGTGTTAGCAGTGCCACGGTAAAGCACACCATTGTCCCTATAGCACTTTTGCTCTGGCCCTGAACAAACACAAACACACACAGACAAGGTTAACGTGGGTAGGGGTGGGTGGGGGGTTTAGGTGGCATGGCCTAAAAGTCTGTTTGGTGTGAGGGGAAAGTTTGTGCTATGAGATACCAAGTGGCTGCTGAGGTGTTGCTGGGCCACTGCACTGATATCCCAGCTGGTTGCTAGGGTGTTGCTTATTCACACTATTCTTGTACTAGGAAAAACAGTGAGTTGGCTTTGTCAAGCCAACTTTAATTAATATGATATCTAAATTAATATTTTCAAAACAAATAGCTTATCATCGTGACTGCTAATAAAAAACTATGTAAAGTCTGGGAGCCCAATAACAAATCAGAAGAAAGAAGGTGAGAGGAAATGAAATATTGGAAGAGAGTCTGCTAAGACTGCAGTGCACAGGGCCCAGAAATTTAATACACTCATAGGGCCAGATTCACAGACCTATAATAACCATGAAGCACAGACTAAAATGGCTTCTTATTAGGGAATCACCATTGAAATTACCCTTTAGTGCAATACTAAGGTTAATCCATGCCTAAGAAACCTGCTGTCAGTGTGATAACACTGTGTGTTTTGTATGTGTTCACTTACTGATACTGCAGCGTGTTCCACTGTATTCTTCTCTGCAGGCACACACTTCTCCTGTGCCTTCAATTATTCTGCAGATGCCCTCATTCTCACAGGGATTACTTGAGCAGACTATATAGAAACACACAAACACAAGAAAGTAAAATAAGTGCAAGCACAGAATGTGTACCAGGACCAGAAATATGAACGAGCATCTTTTTGTACGGAAAGTCCTACCTCTGTATCGTACACGCTCACAGGACACGCCCTCACTGAGGCACTTGCACAGCTCCACGTTACGCAGTTGGATTCTTCCCCATGACTCCCCGATGTCATAATGTCTCAGGTGCAGTGGTTCATAGCACTTGCCTACCGATCACAACAAAGAACGGAAAACTCTGATCACTTCTACACTAATTAAAGAGAACAGACTCAATATGCTTCTAGAATTTAAAGCATAGGCTGTTCAAAATAGGCCCTATTAGAAAGCTGCAAAAACCCTAGGGGCCACTATGGCAGCGTTATGGGAGTCGACTTGCTATCCTCCTTACAGAAACTGCACGTCAACCTCCAACCCAAAGAACACAGTGATAAACAAAGCTTTTCAGGTGCAAATCCAATGGATTCTTCCAGCACTATTCACAAAAAAGCCGAAACGCACAGTTTATGGACTGTGGCACGGAAAGTGCAAAATGGGCTTCTCTTCCTCACACACCCAAAATGTGGAATTACACCAATGTGCAAAGATCACACAGAAAATGGGTTTAGATTTTGGAAATGAGGCTAATTACATATTCCACTCATTTCACTAAAGACTGAGCAACCAGCGGCCCATTTTGCATGTAATTTTCTCCGCCTTTTAAAACCATAAATTGTGGTCTCACACGCATGTTGTTGGGAGACTTCCTTTAAGAACAGCAGCAAACACAGAGGCTAAATGGACATACAAGCACTGATCATGTGCTAAAAGACAGAAAACCGTGTGTAATGTTAGTGTATGAAATTATTACTTCATTGTTGTTCCCTATTATAGTGCTCTTTATGGTGATCTTGATTTTAGAATGTAGGGAACAGCGATCAAAAGTTATATACAGCATTCTGGATTTTACAATTTAGCACATGGTGATGAGAGGACCATTTTGAAGATTTTTGGACATCTCTATAAGGTGCCAAACTCTAAAAATAAGTAGTGAGTATGGCATAGTTTTGGACACAGCATAAGTCTTCTCCAGCATCTGGAAAACCCATCTATAGCAGATCTCTAATAACCAAAGACCTGATTGACAGCCATGTGATTTCACTTTGACTTCTGCAGCTGAAACTGCTGGAGCTAAAACCCCATCATTAGCCTCACAGCTTCAGTGCTGAAATGAAGAAGCTAAATTGGGCTCCAAACACGTCTTGTCTGATCAACTACATCCAGGATATTGGGTAAATTTTACCAAACTATTCCTTCAACACCTGTTGGGTCAAAACTGAAAGTGTATTCTAACAGGACATATTGCTCACTTATATCACTTCATTTAAAGAAAAAGTCACTGAAAGATGGACAAAGGTACAGACAAAAATCAGGTTTTAAGCTGGCTGCTACTACTGCTGTTAGCTATGTTATGTACAGTAGTCCATTTTTATACATAGCAGTATGTAATACGGTGTCAAAAACCACATAAGCAGGTCTGTTTGAGATTACTTGGTGCGGTGTGCGGAAAATATGTGATGATACAGGGATGCAGTTTGCACAGTGTTAATTGGTGGGCTGTAAGCTTTTTGCCACATTAGCCTTTTAGCTAAAGTGCAAAACTAAAGAAGCAAGCAATGTTTTGACTAACTGACTAACTTAAAGGGGAATCTGTCTTGGCAGGTCTAAAATAAGTCATTTTTCATCAAACTGTTCTTTTTACAGCAACCCACATTCTGCTAACTGGTGAATGACAGATGACAGCAAAACTACAACATGCAAAATGAGAAGTGCACAGCTAAACTATGAGTCGGTTTGATTTAGTCTTGAAGAAAACAGCCAGCAAGCCAAATCAGTGAGAAAGTTCAGGGAGGCTGACATTTAAAAGGTAATTCAGCTAATTTTATAAAACACACGTGAAATTCCTCAGCTTTGAGGCATCAACTGAACACAGGTGTTGAGAACATTACTTTGGAATGGTCTCATAAGTCAGCCAGGCTGAGACGAGCAGGCCCAAGGCCATTTCCTTTAACAACCAATCAGAACAAAGGCCGGACATCTCTCTACCAATCAGAGCGGGGGGTCAGACAAAGGCCAGAGATAAAAGAGCTGAGAGAGAATGAGAGACTATAAAAGGTGAAACCTGATCATTAGCCTGATGAAAGAGAAGGGGATAATGGGGATTTTTTTTGTGTATCTGTAGAGATACCAGCAGCTTACCACACAGCCTGGTCACTCAGACTCAGGTAAAACTAAGCTTGCAATGATAGTTTGCAAAAAATCATATTTACACAGTTTTCCCAAATGAACCTAATCAGCTAAGACATGTTTACCATCTGAGGTTTGCTTTTACGGAGCTAAGAGGCTAAGAGGCAAACCAGTAGCTGCAGTTTATGCCCCAGTTATATCCCACTTAGCATCTGAGAACTGCATACCTAAATCACCACCACAAGGCATTTCAAACAGACTTGCTTATGTGGTTTAAAATGGGCAGAAGTACAGGGAGAAGTCAGACTTCAACAAGTGTTTTAGCTATTAAATATACTTATTCTTTTATACATAAACCACATAAGCAGTCTGTTGAGATCACTTCACAAATCAATGTGGTTTGAGACAAATGTGTGACTTCAGACCAAACATGTCTGAGCTGATCAACTACATATGGGGCAAACTGTGTACAATTGTTTCTAGTGAACTGCTTTAAGCCTAGTTGTAAACTGAAAAGGACTTTTTGTCACTGTTAATAATATCCCAGGACTGGTTGTAATCTGTGTCTGGAGGTCCAAGGCTCAGGATCTTGCTCTAACAACACACATACTCTAGCAGATACACTGACAGTTCTTCAGTATAACCAGTGTTTTCAGTAGAAAGGAAGCTTTAATGTATGATTGGCAGAACAGGTTTAGTGTGTAATGAAGGTCCTTCGGTGCAGTTCACTCACTCAGTTCACACGCCGGCCCCATGAAGGCATCCGGACAGGCACACTCAAATGAGTGCTGTTGAGGTACCGGCGTACACACGCCACCATTCTTACACGGGTTTGGTTCGCAGAGGCTCCGATCTCTGTGAGAACTCAGAAAGGCTAAGGAAAGAAGGAAAGAGAGAAAGAAAAAGGGAGTGGATTAGAGATCTGTATGTACAGTACTGTGCAAAAGTCAGAGACCATTTCATTTACAGTGAAAAAGGCCATTACGTACAAGTTCAGGACTTCTTTAAGTACAAGTTCAAGTACTTCTAAAGAGGTTATATGTAAGATTTACATAAGGAAGGTGAACAGCAAAAGACAAATGGAACTTCTAACCACACTAGAACTGGTAGACCACCAAAACTATCAGATAAACAGTAGTTAAAGCATTAATCTTTGAGAGAGAGGAGAAAATCAGGGTCCAGATATGAAAAACTCCACAAGTGTTTCTGGAAAAAGAAGAAAAATTTGCAATTTGCAAATATATTCAGTGCAGACTATAGTTCATTTTTTGAGGTGTTCTTTTTTGCTGTTCTAGTTTTTTTTATAAAACAAAGAAAACGAAGCCAGCTGTTTAAAACTGTTCTATAAATAAATAAATAAATAAATAAATAATCAGTACAAAATTAAAGCCAGACTAGTTTTTTAGACCGCCACTTTTTTCCATTTTCTTAAGTACTTGACCACAAAATTGTTCAAATGTCCATCCCTAATATATAAATCATCACAAGAAAATCTGCAAATCAATCAAAGAAGCTGCTGGTGGACTGTCCACTCCAGATTCCAGACCTCAACATTGGCAAATTAGTTTGGGTTACTTGGACTGTGAGAAGCAACCAGCAACTTTGCAGGTGAGGAAAAACATCCCTGCAGAAGGCAAGACCCACAAAAGAATGGAAGCTGTAATAAAGGCCAAGGTGGATATATTTAGTGGAAACAACTGAAAACTAAAACAATTGATATTATTTGTAGCTGTTGAGGCTTAAATATGTGTTCTTAAATAACGTGTTACTTCTTTGTGTTACTGATGCTGAAAAAAAGAATAACTTTTGTTTAATGGCCGGTTTGACTGGAAGTTAAATAAACTAAGGGTGGTCTCTGACTTTTGCGCAGTGCTCTATACAGACAAACAGGCTATTTTCGTTTGAAGCTGAATCTCAGAGAGAAGGAAAAAGATTTTTCACCATGTACATGGGGAACTCTTGAGTTGTCAGTAAGTGACTACATATATTGCATTAAACAGGCTGTTCACATAGGAACTTCCACTGAGTCACTGTATCTTTGACACATGGAAAATTTTAAACTCCATATACAGAACTGACACACTGGCCGTCTGACATACAGTCACACACTGAAGTAATGTACATCACTGTGACTAAAGTGTGCACTTTTCATTTGATAACTGCACGTGCACACCTGCGTTAAAGTACACATATCAGGAAAAACATACATTAATCTGCCTGCATCTGCATGCATTAGTGCATTGACTCATCTAAACACATTGTGTCGGGTGTTTACATCTTTAACGTCACTTGCATCGACTGTCACGCAAACTCGACGCAAACACAAACAGATTCCTCCCCCTTGGAACAAGCTCAGGCCATGAGTAATCCAATCCTAAGTCCGGCTTTATATGGTAAAACTTTCATGCAAGCTTAGCTGCTCCAAACTTACATGAACTTACTTTCTACTTGCGTTTCATAATGCACTGTAGAGCGTCTTGCAACTTGTCTGAAACTTGCCGCAACAGCTGCAAGCATTTCAACATTAAAACAGCCAGTCAGAACGCAGATAATGTATCATACAATGTCATCACAACTAACTAATTTCAGTCACATCATTATCATGAAAATTAAACTATGTTAAGTATTTACCGGTAACCAGTTAGCTAAACTAGCTACCTTGCTAGCCAGCTAATGTTAACATGACAGCTATTTGAACAGCTGCTTGCGCCAATGTTGCAGTTACCACAATATATGTAGACTGATGCAATATACAAAAAATACTAGCTACTAATCTCGCTACCTCGTGGAACGATGGAATGCACCACGTTCCACTTTGATTATTTTTTAATTGCTTCATGTAACGTTGCTTGTAGATCATGTATAGTTGCTTGGCTATTAAGTTTCATGCACCTTGTGACCTGCAAATTAGTAAAAGCCAACCTAAACACATGTGTATACCAAAATGTGAATGGCAGGGCCTCCTTACTGTTGAAGAGCCGTGGGCGTGGACCGCAGTAGCCCCACTTCAGGTCTCGGTCAAAGTTGTGTGTGAGAGAGCACCTGTAACACATAAAAAAAAAAGGTACAAGTGATGAATTCCTAAGAGAGCAACAGGGTCAGATGTCCAGGCCAGTCTGTGACTGGTCAGAGAAGACGCACAGAGACAACACTGAACATGGGTAAAGCAAAAATTTAAACATACATTATTTTCTTCTCTAAATGTAGTCATTTAGCCAAGACATGTTAGCTTAAAGGCTAATGTCATTAACAAGAAAGCTTATGGAAACATGTTAGCATCATGTAAAGTGGCCGCATAAATCATCACACACTTACCCTTAAACCATGATTTTTTAAGTAATCTCAAATAGGCTTGCTTATGTAGTTTCTGACCCTGTATGACACACTGTTGTCTATAAAAATGAACAGAAGTGCATGCATAGGTGAAAACAAAGCTTTCAGTTACCTTAAAGCCCGACCATTTCTGTCCATTTGTTATTCATTCATAAATAAATGTGGTTTATGGCACTGTTTATGATACCATCTAAACATGCCAAACTACATCAAATTAGTTCAGCTTTATTTGTACAACTTTTTTTATAACAGATCTTTTTCCAAAACAGCTTTCCAGAAAAGTGGGCCCAGACCACTAACGATTACCGCCAGGGCAGGAAAAACTCTCTAAGTGCCCTCTGTGACTGGAATGAGCTGTGGCACAGCAGAGAGAACGATAATATACAGAGACTGACAGCCCTGGTTTAACGTGTGAACTTTCACAAACCTACATAGCCGGTAGTTAGTTTTTCTCTTCCTTTTTCACACCTTGAATAGATGGTGTCTAAACCGGTGGCATGTTCCAGGGCTGGCGTATCATAACACCCACTTGTCTGAACACGCGCCTGTCCAGTTTTAGCACACACTCACACTACTGACACAAAAAGCAGTGTCAGAAAGTGCATCTGGATCGTAGATAACTGAGGTTAAGTGATCTGATTCTACGTCAGCATTTTTACCCCAATTCCTGTTTCTGATTGGCCTCAACTCAGCATCAGTTCTGGCATCTGGTATCACAAAAAATACAGCACTGTGAAAAGTTAGAGGATGCCTAACAAAGCACACGGAAAAAGATAGAACTGGAGACCAGGAAGGTGAAGCAACAAAGTAGTCGTTTCTAATATAGCGGACAATGAGTGACACAGTTTGTAAATCCCCAAAGCAACGCTGACAAGCCAGCCTACTAACATACGTGATCTAAGTGAAAGATGCAATGTTTCTGATGGTTTTACGTTCTCAAAAGAGAAAACTTTATGGTCACCAACTTTATCTGCATTTTGACAGATCCAAAGCAAATATTTAAAGTCAGAGATGTGGTTCTTTATTCCTGTTGATGGTGTGAGCAGCCATGTTGGTATGACTTCATATGATGAACCAGGAGATAGGAACACTATCCCAACTTTCCGAGAAGCAATTCACAGTTGACGGACTGTTCTCTTTTATTTATCCTTGTCGAAGCCTTAATTGAACGCAGCAGACTGGTCCACGACCTAAATAGTGCGGTGGTCCTATTGCAGTGTGATGATTGTGTGGCTAGGCCTGAGCCCAGTGACAGATAACTGAGTTATCAGTCACCATAGAAACAGTCAGCCTGAGTGATGGTAATAATTTATTTGCCACAGAACAAACAAAAAAAGTTCATTTATTGGTTTATTTTTGCTTTTACTATGATTAGTAGCAGTATTAGTGTAATAGTACCTCTGCTAACACTTCTGAACACATCATCAGTGAAGTTCCTGGAAGCATCAGCAGATGTACTTCAGATATATATAACAGTAACTAGTTGTTCCTCATTGTCAAATAAATGGTAAAGCAAAGGGAACAAAATACCCCTGAACCCAGTTTGACTGTTCACTGTGATTATTTTCTACATGTTTCTAATAAACTGGCAGCTTGTGTGTCTAACATCTTACTAAATACAATACAAAAACAAACGAGCGATACTAGATACCTTTACTCTCAGATGGAAAAACACTAAGATCAACTCATCTTATACTATCACTACAAGAGCCAAACTGTCTCAGGGGTCAGCAGTGACGCTGCAGGCAGGGACACACACACCCTTCCTACGTCAAAGGTGGAGTCTGAGTACGGAGGTATTTTGCTCTGATCGTGGGTGGACTTTCACTGTTTACAGTGAGAACCCATAGCAACCACGCGCGTGTGTTTCTGTGTGGCGGGGTTACTGAGTGTACAGCACTGTGCAAAAGTTTAAGGCACGTGAGAAAATTGTATCTGACTAGATTAGAGGGTGTTTATTTGCTCAAAAACACTAAAATGAGAATAAACACAAATAACATTAATACAAGAAGTACTGATTTTTTTGCCTGTCAATGTGTTACCAAACCTCACTTAGAGGAAGCCCAGGATTGCTTGTATTTATCATCCAATATCTGGTTTTGTTAATCAATTCTTCGTTAAATTAAGGAGGTGGAATTTTACAAATCTATGCAATGGCTGGGAATGTAGAGAAATCTGGAACCAAGCCTGTGTTCTTGTAACCTTCTCAAAATGAACACACAAACGGCCCAGATAAATGGTCTGATAAACACTTTGCTTAGGTGCCAAAAACTTTTGCACAGCCCTGTATGTGAATGAACGTGTGCATGTGCCATGTATGGCATGTCGGAACTCACCACTTTCTGCTAGAGCTCACTGAAATGCAGTGATGATAAACAGTTCCACCCAGCCTGAACGGAAACTTACACTCCCTTCCATCTGTAGTGAACACTTCATCACACACACACACCACACACACACACACACACACACACATAATGGGTGTCCACATTAGAGATAAGATATAAACACATGAACATCCAATAATGTGTAAGTATTGACACTCATTAAGAACGAAGGGATTAACAGAGTGTTACGCAACTGCACAGCACAGAGTGAAAAACATTGGAGGAGCCTCATGTGAGAGAGAACATTGAAAATCTATAACACTGTCAACACTAATGCATCCCAGAAACAGTTGTTACGCAAACACACTCCGTTCTCAGCTGGAGGGGAAGCGAGACGGAGAGGATTTTGGCTGGCCTACCTTTCTGACCCTGACTGTTTGACTGAGTGGACACCAGTACCTCCAGACCAGGGGGCTGCTTATGCTTTAAAGCAGAGAGAGAGAGAGAGAGAGAGAGAGAGAGAGAGAGAGAGACAGAGAGACACTTTCACTGGTACAACACTTGCAACATTCAAAAAAAACATGTTTTTCAAAGCTCAAGACAGAGAACAGCAAGAGAATGAGAAAAAGTCAGGAAAAGAGAGAAAGAGAGAAAATAAAAGAAAAAGAAAACATGAGAAAGAAACAGAAAAGAATGAAGAGAAAGAGAAAAAGGATGAGAGACAGAGAGAAACAGCAAGAGAGCAAGAGAGAGAGAAGCAGAGAGAAAGAAACAGAAAGAAGGATGGAGAAAGAAAAAGTAAGAATGGAGAGAGGAAGTCAGAGAAAGAAGGATACAGATAGAGAAACAGAAAAAAGGATGGCGAGAGAAAGAGAGAGAAAGCGACTGAGAGAGAGAGAGACAGCATGACAAAAATCTCTCGTCAGTGTGTAAAAAAGTACATGCATGTGGTGTAAAGCCTGTCAGAGGACCGACATTAAGCTTCTTCTCTTGCAATCCACCTACCGCGCAGGACCGCAGCATCAGCGCTGACAGCAAGAGACTCCACAGGCACGCGCGCTCGGGGACGCGCATCTCCACTACAACTTTACCAACTGCCCAGCAGAGCCCTCTTCAGTCTGGAGACACGAGAGAGAGAGAGGGAGAGAGAGAGAGAGAGAGAGAAGGGGGCCGAGAGACACCTGACTTTAAAAGCCTTTTATTTAACCATTATATAGAAAAGTGTGTGTGTGAGGCAGAGAGAGAGAGCGGGAGAGAGAGAGAGCGAGGGAGGAAGAGACGCAGAGAGAGGGAGTCACCGTCTTCTAACTGAGTTACGTCATGTGGCAGATTTAAAGAAACTGAAAGAAAAAAAAAAGGACAGAAAACTCCGGGAGCGAACCCGCCAATCAGAGCGCGGGAACGCATTCCAAAGGGTGACGTCGTCGTCAAGCGGCTTTCGATTTTTGTGCGTTGCCATGGCAGCATAGCTGGCTGGAGTGGCGGAAACCCACGAACCCAGGTACAGCGCGCTGTTAGTCCACCGAAACACAACACGGGCAGGAGTAAAGCTCGACTTCTGTGAACACTTCAGTCCTCCAGGTCACTGAACTGTCCAGTGGCGGTAAGTCAAGTGACAAAACGTTCTCAGGGACGGACTTATACCGTCCAGCCGCCCTGACTTACTAACTACAGGTCTACTAGATAAACGCCAAAAATAGCAGCGGCTCCGCGGTTACAATGAAAGCTTACTGTGTTTAGCTAATGGTAGCTTTAGCCCTCTTTTGTATTTTGGACCTGTAGCTTCTTCAGTGTCTCATAGTGATTAAGTTTCTTTGTCGTTGCCAGAGCTAACTACAGGCAGAGTACCCTACACCTGTACACAAGTATTATACTGCAATTAAATGACTGCAGTAAAAGTACAAATACCGCAGCGCTCGCTATTAAAAAAGGTACTGCTTTCCCACAAGTCATTGGTTTTTTTTTTCCAGCTCTTGAAGGCCACAGCCATGCCTTACTTAATCAAAGCCTTTTCTCTAACTAGTTCTCTACCTAGCTTACATCTCCCTTTCTCTCTCTCTACACACACAATACAAATCAAAACTTTACTTGTTTTACTTGAATACATGTAACTCAGTAAATATAGTTACTACCCACCTCTGCCTAAAACCATACTGACGTAAAAATGTTCTTATTCAAGAAATAATGACTCAAGCAGTTAACAAGCATAGCGTTCTATCAGCATAGGAACTGATAGGTTTGTTAAGGAATGTTTTCATTTTGGGATCCTGTTGCCTAAAATAAAATGATAAAGCTCCAGTGCGAGCGTGCTGAGAAACAGCAAAGCAATCCAAGTGAAGAACTAACAGAACAGAATGAAAAATGACCCAAAAAGGAATTGGGAGCAAAATAAGAAGGGAGAGGGATTGAGGAAAAAGTGGATTCATTTAAATACCCAGAAAAGTAAAAACCAATAAAAACTGTACTTGGAATCAAATAAATGTTAACTTGTTCCTCCTTACCTGTGTTTCCTAGTTGCAAACAAGACCCCTCCTAACCTTGATGTCACCAGCCCTAGGGCCATGCGCACCTTCTTCTCCTGGATGCCCAGACAATACCTCAGACGCAGAGCTCTACAGTGTACAAACATTTGATGCAAGATCTTGTATAATTTGACATGCGTCATGGAGACACAGATCACGCAACATGTACCTGACCACGAGACAGTGAAATGCAAGCATTAATCATTCACAGACCAAAACTGTGGTTAGTTGAAACCATTCTGAATGACTAACAGACAGCAATTTATCAACATTGGGAATAATACATTATTCACTGCCTTGTTACTCAAGGGGTACCACAGGGATCTGTTCTTGGTCCCTGCTTTTTAACATTATATACATTATCTCTTGGCTCAGGATGCTCATCTGTGTCTGACTGACGACATCCAGTAAGCTCTGATACCACCACTGCTCCTCCGGCCCAGGCATTGGCAACACTTGATGACTGATACCGTTCTCAAAATAAACACGGCCAAACCTAAAGTTTTGCTGGTAGGCCCCGAAACCCCAGCACATGTGGCGTACAACATTTTGATCGACATAGATATCAATATTTTGAGTATAAATAGTGCCATCTTACCGCTCCCATTTAAATTATGTACTGAACACCAATGTTCAATACATAATTTAACTTCTAAGTAGTAATAATCGCAATAACCATGTCTTCCACTAAGCAATAGTTCATTAAGGCTGTGGTGTGCAGGCAACACACAACAGCACAAATGTTTTTTTATATCTTAGCACTATTATATATAACTCAATGATGTGTGGTGATATATCAAATATACTATATACTTGATACATGATGTACTTGACATACTTAATACATGATATGTGTACTATATCAAGTATACAGCAGCTTTAAACATGGCTCAGCCAGTCAGATGTTAGAACTGGAACCATCCATCTTATAATGCACATCAAACATACTATTTATCATTGCAGAAACATCTATTCTTTGACACCCAGTAGCTATACAAGTACTTTTCACTGCAACATGACACATTTGGTGGGCATTGTAATCCCACTCAGATTTAGCGCAAGTGCCACCTTAAAGAATTATCCGTTCATATTTCACTTATTGTCCAATGCACCTTCTCTCTTTTCCCTCTTTCTTAAGTTGAGCAATTTCACAGCCCTGAACAAGTGAGGCCTTCCCCTCTGCAAGCGTGCAACCCAGGATCAAAGAGGTCCATTGAAATCCATCCCCTTGCAGCCAAGGTGTGTCAGGCTGTGTGTAAAGAGCGTTACTTAAGCATGAAGCTTTGAGGAATGCACGACATTATGGCAACATTATGAGGAAATGGCTCAGGTTTGTTCTTATGTGAGCTTATATGCTGACTCGAAGAGTTGTAAGGCTGAAAATCTTATCCCCTTTAAAATCTAGACGTAGTATTTAGTTATTAGTCTTAAGGCTTATTATCCAGTTAGTACTATGAATGATTCAGCAACTACTTTGAAATTGCTATGTAAGGTATGCAATTACAAGACTGTGTAATGAAAGTCTGGACTCAGTGACAGTGATGGGGAAAAATGCACTTTCATAATCATTTCATACACAAATTAACACAACTGTTCCCGTACATTGGCAGGAATAAAAACGCGGTACTTTTGCAAATTAAATATTTTTTTTCAAAGTCATGCTGTACTTTGATATTGAGCTTGATTGTGGGGCTTCCTTTGATCATTCCAAAGTTGAGCTGAACTACAATACTGTGCAAAAATCAGAGAACGCCCTTCATGGACTCAATTTCCAGTCAAAACAGCAATCAAATGATGCATATTTTACCATCAGGAAAAAAACATACATTTAACATAAAATTAAGACGCCGCACAAACCAAATGTAATGTCTTCGGCAGACTTTGTTTGCTTTCAGTTTGTCAAAGAAACCTGCAGGGATATTTTTCCACACCTCCAAAGCTCAGTCTTAGATGTTGGTTGCATTTTCTGCTTCTCATGTTCCACTTAATCACAAACACATTCAGTGATGTTGAGGTCTAGAGCACCTACTTTGTTTGATTTATCCTTTTTTTGTCTATTTCCTTCTTTCAGTAAGGGCTTCCTCACAGCTACACATCCTTTCAGACTCAGAGCACTGAGTTGTCTTCTCACAGTAGAAGGATGGACAGAAGCACTTTTTTCAGATTTGAAGCAAGAGTGGAGTTTGTTTCTCAAAGATTAAAGCTTTAAGTACTGGTTTTCTGATGAAGACAGTTTTGGTGGTCTGCCGGGTCCAACTCTCCCGGACTCCGACTCCCAGAAGCCCCCAGGAGAGCATGTGATGCTCACCCTACCTGCATCAGCCAATCAACCACTCTCCAGATCCCTATCACCTGAATTCTGACCAGCTGCACCTGACTGTCATCAACTCTACCCTAAAAAGACTGGTTCACTTTTCTCACTCATCGTGGAGTATTGCCACAGTTGGTTTTAGTGCAAACCAAGCGCTCTTCCTTTACTGCTGCTCTGTGTTTGACCTGGCTTGTTTTCTGACCTCATTTTTTGGCTTTGTATTTTTTGGCTTTACTTTCTCTCATGTTTTGCCTTTTGGTTTTGACCTCTGTTTGGCTCTCGACTATCCCTTTAATGTCTCTAATGATTGTTAGTAGCCTCTCTCTGGTTTTGACCCTCGGCTGTGTTTGATTGATCCTCGTTAATTAAATCTTTTGCTTTTATGGCCAGCGTCTGGTCTATTCTGTCACATTACAGCATTTTCAACAGTACCTCTTATGTGAAACAATTTGCAATTTTCATATAAAAATTCAATTTACTTTCTGATATAACATTAATTTTAGTTTCTTTTCACCTCCAAAAGTCTAATAACAGGTGGTGCAACTGTCCATGTATGTTGATTAAGTAAAGCATACAAAAAGTTAGTTATATAAAATTCTAAATAAAATAGTCTGATATGATTTTATGTTTGAAAACTTTAAAGTGCTCAACTCACATTAAAACCTTTGTCTGCAAGTTCGTACTTCCACAAATGTCAGGCAGCACAACAAAAGACAAGGACTTCTATTTTGACATGCTTTTATGAAAGAGGGGCCAGTGTACTGCATCATAAAGAAGAGCCCAAGTGACCCTCATGGTGCAATGCCAAGGTCAGAAGCCCCTTCACAAATTTTGGAAAAAAATGTAATTTTTGAGTCATGGTTAGAACGGGTCAGGTGGCCTGGCTTCAGGAAAACCATGAAAATGTGTAATTATTATAATGCCTGTTCAATTTGAATTTAGTCTGAAAAGTCAGGTGGCACAACCAGATCAGTCAAGTGGTGCAACCGTTTGTGTGTGCAAATTTTAAATGTTATGTTTAATGTTTTTCCAATATGTTAAACTCAGCAAATAAGCAAATAAATAGAAATTGTGCACTAAAATTAGCAGAACAAAATGCCATATTTATTTTTTTTTTTGAGTAAACTTAACAAAACGTAATTGGACTAGGGGTGTTCAAACATTTGCATTTGACAATAGATCTTTTTCAGAACGGAGAGAAAGAAAGAAAGAAAGAAAGAAAGAAAGAAAGCAAAGAAGAAAGACCTCTTACAAAGAACCTGTGCCATAGCAATACTTCAAAAATATAAAATTTCTATAGTGCTGTTTAATGTTAAAAAGAGAAGACCAATTGCTTGTAGAAAACACTACAAAATATTTATGCTGTTTTGCACAGATGGATTTTATCACTGATTTTATCAGTGATTTCAAATATGTTTTTGAAACGCTTCTGTGGCTTTTAGTTTCAGTACATCTCTCACCATTCAAAGAGATAGAAGTCAGGGGGCATTTACACTTTTTTTTACCTATCTTTTTGTCTTAAGATCTGACAGGTCAGGATAAGATTTTTCAGAAAATTGTTTTACAGAAGCAAATCTTATCTTAATTTAGATATCTTATCTTCCAGCATCTTATCTCAAGTTAGGAAGTGTTAACTTACTCAACTGAAGTCGACAATCAACTGTCCTGTCTGTTACCTAGCAACCGACCATATGTGCACAGCCGAAACGTGAACACATAATCCAAAGTTAGTCAGATAGCTAGCTGCTATTACTGACATAAAAAAGTCAAACAAAACTAAAGTGCGATAAGCTGGAGGTTGGGAATATTGTAACAGCGCTTCGTGCTGTTTATTAGAGCGTTTCCCAAACTCTTTAGCTGACCGCGCTAACGTTATTCCTCCTAATAAACAGACACACATTCAGCTCTGTCTCCTCATTATTCACCACCATCACTGTAATATTTTATCTGATGAATTTTCATCAACATTAACACATGAAGGTAATAAGAGGGGATGGTGGAGATCATGTCTGCAGTTAGTACTGCTAGATAAAAAACGTACCATTTTCAATGTAGATGAATTTAATGTCATTATACTGGTTATAGTAAACTATGCTCTCTGTGACTGCATAAAACAATAGAAACAGACAGTTAAAACAGAAGTTCAGACACCTCTGGGGACAGTATTTAGGGAATTTAGTCTAGTTAGGATGTTTCTGTAACTGTATTTCTATCTGGAGTTAACGGGTAAAATTATGAACTGTTGTTCTGTGAAAGCTTCTGTCCTGAATTCAGTCCTAAGTGAAGCTGTCAGGGTGACTAAACGATAAGATTTCCGAGTTAAGAAGTTTCTGTAATAAGACCCCTGGTCTTTCATGAGTGGAAATAACTGCCTGTGTGCATTGCCAAGATGGCTGTTGAGTGTACAGACATGACTTTGATAATATGTCTATAATAATGTATGATATTTTCTATACAATATTACTGCCGTACTATATTATACTTATACACAGTACTCAGGGTTGGGTAGTAACGGAATACATGTAATGGCATTACATTATCAGGATATGAAAAAAGTAGCAGACTGATCTGATCAGACAGTAAAGTTCTTATTCTTGTTTGTAGCTCCGTAAAATTATACAGTTTGACCGGCTATAAATCAAACTTTTGATAACCTTAACCTGCCAGATTTTAACGCTAAAGTGAATTAACATTAACTAACAGTCTAGTTAGTTTCGATTCTACATGTATGATTCCTGTCCCCGATAGCTTTTGAATAATGGGTGCACAATGTTAATAT